CCCAATGGTCTTACACTTATGTACATATGCGATGTCATAAATTCATTATTTGTCTTGTATGTATGGTTACATTGGCAATGAGTATGTATATATAAGGCAGCAAATGCAATGACACAGAAATCTGTGTATAGTATATTAGTACCACCAAAAAGGTTTCTTTTCATAAAGAAGTATTTTTAGTTTATGCAATCTTTATTTTGTGTTTAAAAATGTAAACATAAGCAATGCAGATATAGAAAACAGAATTACTGTGCACAAAAAATCAAAAGTATTTGCATGAACTTTTCGCTAATATATGCCAGAAACGGTATAGTATCAAATTACTAAACATTTACATAGCATAATTCAGGCAATATTTATACAGGTTGTACATAAAATAGAAGATTACAGTTTGTTTTGACATCTTTACATCTCTGCCTTTTAAGTCATTAGGAAAGACATTCAAATATAGAAATCAAAGTAGAATAGTGATCTGCCAAATTATAATAACAGTAAGTGAATAAATAATAATAAAACACTGTCTTTCTTTTGCATTTATATTCAAACTCTGATAAATGAGTAATGCCAACTATCTCATTCAGAAAATTTTACTAAACCAATGAAGCAACAAGTGTCTGGCAAGTTTATACTATCCTCTAAATCAACATTTCCAGTACCAGGTTAGTTTAGAAATGTCTTGAAAATGTAATCAAAATACCATGCAGAACATAACTTATTAGCAACATCAAACTATATCACCCTCCTCTTATCCAGAAACGCACATACACAAGCAAATGGACCAATGTACTCACTATACAATAATTTTTGCCACAATGGGAGCCATTATAAATCACAGACTCAAATCTAATAATGTGGTTTACTATATATTTATACATATATCTATATATTTACATTATGATTAGACTCTCCTTTGAATTATCACCTGCTGATGATTACATTATTCATAGAACAGTTTCCAGAAGGTGAAATGTCACTGTCTTTATGAGTTTTGAAACAATTACTTTTAATATCTTTGCTCAGTGCTCTAAATGATTAATAATCAACATATATTATTGGTAGGCAAATTTTGTTGTTTTTCCTTTTTTCCTTACTGTAAATAATAAGAAACTTCAAAGGACTAAAAGAAAAACCTGACTTTTAAACATTTGAACTGACTAGCCTCTACAAGTATTATGGTACTTTGCCTGAAATGGAATGTAAGTTGATCTGAACCCTGGTATAACATACACAATACACTTGAAAATGACAAACATAGTAATACCTATAATAAAAAGGTTAATGCATAGTGGAACTTATATTACAAATTCTAATATAAACTTTAAAGAGGTAAATGAAAGATAGATATGATATATTTCTATTTAGCTAACTGGTCAGTTCATACAAGTACAGTAAATCTTAAGTTCTTATTCTAAAATCTATTAACATCTATAGTCATAATCATTTAGAAACAAAAATAAACATTCACTTTAATAAACATAATTACTCCCAGAAAATATATGCCACAGTCTTTTGACTGTCTTCATAGACTAGTAAATTAACTTCACTTGCCTTAGTGACATTACATATTTCGCAAAATACCTAGATTTTAAGTGATAAATGAAGAAGCAAGCGTATTTCTTGTCCAAACAAAAATAGTGCAAACTAATGTCCATCATGGTTGCTAATAAGGGAAACATTTAGATTTTACTGTAATTACCTAACACACCATTACTAGCATTCTTCCTCTGCCCCCCCATTAACCTATTTTAAGACCAGAGTAATGGAGTTATAAAAGTAGAGAGACAGCCAGATGGCATCTGCCTCTCATAAGTTGTGGCAATACTCACCACTGCTGGAAAAGATAAATCATTGGAAGAGTATTGGCAATTCACAATTTCTTAACATTTTGCTTGGGTGGGCTACATATTTAGTATGGTTAGCTGCAACCACTAACACACTCTCTGAGTTTGGATTTTCTTGGATTCAGAGTACCTCAAATGGTAGTTTTTGTAATTCCTAGATATTTCAATAAACTTCAGGATATAAGGGGGGCCCTGGATTGTTTTTTTTCTGAATTCTGGTCACGAGGAACAGTTTGCAAATCATAAGGAATCCACAAGTTGGCATTTTGTACATTTTGGTACAAAAAGGTGACTAATCAAATTCTTTTAAGTTTAATATATTCTACTTTTAATCTTATCAAGTCAGTTATTTCAAAAAAGTTAATTACAACAATTACCAATTTGGCCCATCATAATACTGACAACCACTTTGCATAGTATTGTCATCAGAGAGCAAGAGGCTGTAATGAAGCTCTATTTTCTAAAACGGTAACATAAATATAACCTTAACATATTGTAGAAGGCAGCACTATCGGTCTGAATATTCATCAAAAGCACTACACAAAATAAATACTGATACATATTATGAGTTTGGAAATAACCAGGCAGACATGAACAAAAAATATCTACTGAATACACCATGTTCTCTACAAAGAAATGCAAGAGGCATAACTTAAAAG